CGGGCAGCTGGCCCCAGGGACCACCCAAGCAGCAGTTGATGCAGTTGGCCCTGGGGACCACCTGAGCAGTTGTCCTGGCCGGAGCAGCCGCTGCTCAGCAGCCCCTGGCAGTGGTCCCAGGGTGGCCATAGAAGCAGCGGGGGGGTGGTTAGAGCAGCTACTACTCGGCAGCCTCCGGCAGCTCATGCCACTGGCCCCAGGGCGCCCCCCTGGAGCAGTGGGCCCCCTGAGCACAGGCCCCCTGGGGCACCCCCACCCAGCAGCAGCCCTCCTCCCAGCAGTGCCCCCCCCCCTCCCTCTGCTAAGATTTAGTCAGGGATATTTATGGTATAAGTCATGGACAGGTCACTAAAAATACCCATGACTAAATCGTAGCCTTAACTATGACTATCAGGTTTAGTCCTCTGGCTGTTAGGTGCCTGGTAAAAGCTAATGTGAGGGAGTGACAGAAGGTATGTATGAAGGTGTGTGCGCACACAAGCACATAGATAGGAGAGAGAAGATGATGGGATAAAGTAGAAAAGAGGTATACAACATAGTGTATAAATTATCTTCCGATTTTTCGATCCTGATGCATCACTTTGCATTTGTCCAGCTTAAAATCCACGAGGCATTGCCTAGATCTAATTTCCTAGTATTTGAATTTTTTTTTAAGATAACTACCATTTAAGGTATGAACAATTTGAGAATCATCAGTAAATGTTGCGACTCCACAGGGGCAGTTGTACTTTAGGTCATTAGTAAACAAATTGACAAGCAATGGTCCCAGTTTTAACCCAGGAGGTATTTCACCTAGTCACTTCTCTCCACTGCAGCCTACTCCCATTCACAGTGAATTTATGATTATATTCCTGTGCTCCTCCTAACATCTGAAGAACAGTAGCCATGATCCTAAAGACTACTGAGGTTCTGATGGCTATGACTCCTTTTTTGTAGACCTTAGGAAGTCTGAACCATCAAGGCTCTCTTCTGGGGGATGGTGGCTGGGAGCAAGGCTGGGGGGAGGGATAGCTCAGTGGTTTGAGCATTGGCCTGCTAAACCCAGGGTTGTGAGTTCAGTCCTTGAGGGGGCCATTTAGGGATCTGGGGCAAAATCAGTACTTGGTCCTGCTAGTGAAGGCAGAGGGCTGGACTCAATGACCTTTCAAGGTCCCTTCTAGTTCTATGAGATAGGTATATCTCCATATATTATTATATTATATTATATTATATTATATTATAACAATATTTAGCTGGAGACTTTTGGCCTGTAGAACAAAAGCACGTTCCTTGCCCCCCTTATCTCCCCTCCTGTCGACCTCCTCCTGTTAGCAGGAGCAGGGCTCCTCACTTGCACAGCCTATGGTCATTTAAAAAAAATGGAGAAAATTCCTATACAAAACTTCATGAAGTTAAGGTTGTAGACAGGTATTTGTGATTCCAGTGAACGTTGCCTTTCAAGATTATTAAAATTAAATATTAGATTCATTCAGCCTCATGTTTTCTAATGAAGGTTAAACTTAATTGTGGGTTGTCTTTTTTTCAGGTAATGAAAAACATACTGTTCAGATTGCTTCTCATCAGGAAGACAGTGAACCAACACTACAAGACATGGCTCTGCTTATTGAACAAGTCACTGGGGTTCCAGTTCCTTTTCAAAAACTGATATGCAAAGGTAGCTAATATTTAAAAATGTTTCTTGCAGGTATCCTAGATTTAACATTAAATACCAATTCTAATTCAGATGGGGATTAGTTTACCTATCTCTTCAGTATTCATTATATTAATTATATAACTTTAAAGTCTCTTGTCAGTCCTTACTACAGTATTTTGACAGATGGATGGATGAGATGGGATGGAAGCATAATTAATTATAAGACATCTGGATTTTATTTGAGTAGGCTTTTTCCAGGAAATCAGGGTTAAAGTCAGTTTCATATTTACTAGTTTAAAATGAAACCCGAGAATTGTTCCTGCTGCTTTCAGTCTCTTTACCAAGTCCATCAGCTGTGAGCCAGTGTGACTCATTGGAAGGGGTGGGTAAACGGATCATCCAAAATACTGAAAAATAACCAGTGGCAAAAAATGACAGGTTAATGAATATTTATTTTGTAAATTTGATAGTGTAAATGGAAATCCCTGGAAAACAAAAGAAATATTTTCTCTACTTCATTTGCTATGGTACTTTTAATCTAATTCAGCTTGGCGTGTACACAATTTGACTCAGTTCCTTTAAAAAAACATGCTAAAATGTTGGAAATTTTTATTCAAAATGAATAGTTTATTTCAAAAGCACTTACTGCACAGTATTAAATATTCATTTATGAAACAACAAAGCATTTTGAATTTCATACCCTAAAGCTAAGTTAGAAGCACTACTTCTTGTTTTTAAGATGGCTGGTAATTAATAAAAGAATAATTTTCCTTTTTCCCTAGGAAAGTCCCTGAAGGAAATGGAACAGCCATTATCAGCACTTGGAGTTAAAAATGGTTGTAAAGTCATGCTGATTGGGAAAAGGGTATATGTCACCTCGTGACGTCTCTTTGGGCTGGTCTACACTGGGGGAGGGGGAATCGATCTAAGATACGCAACTTCAGCTACGAGAATAACGTAGCTGAAGTCGATGTATCTTAGATCGATTTACCTTAGGTCCTCACTGCGCAGGATCAACGGCCGCGGCTCCCCCGTCGACTCCGCTTCCGCCTCTCGCTCTGGTGGAGTTCCGGAGTCGATGGGGAGTGCGTTCGGGGATCGATGTATCGCATCTCAATGAAATGCGATAAATCGATCCCCGATAGATTGATTACTACCCGCCGATGCGGCGGGTAGTGAAGACGTACTCTTCCTTTGTTATCCTTATATCTGTTGATATTCCTGTTCAAGAGCTTAATCACTGCTTATGGTGAATCTGCTCAAATGGGTGTCAGTGTAATGAAAGTGAAACAAGTGTACTGTGTACTTACCTATTTAAGGGTGCACTCTGTGTGTGCATCTGGCTGTACACACAGTTCTTCATTCTCTTGTCCTACAACTAATAACTCTATGCACCCTGTTCATTTTTTGAAGGTGCATCATATGTAGGGCCCTACCAAATGCATGGTCCGTTTTGGTCAATTTCATGGTCATAGGATTTAAAAAATAGTAAATTTCATGATTTCAGCCATTTAAATCTGAAATTTCATGGTGGGGTAATTGTAGGGGTCCTGGCCCAAAAAGGAGTTGTGGGGCAGTCACAACATTTGTGTGTGTGTGTGTGTACGGTGGGGGGGGTTGCAATACTGCTACCCTTACTTCTGTGTTGCTGCCTGCAGAGCTGGGCCCTCAGTCAGCAGTTGCCATTCTCCAGCCTCCCAGCTTTTGAAGGCAGCAGCGCAGAAGTAAGGATGGCATGGTATGGTATTGCCACCCTTACTTCTATGTTGCTGCTGGTGGGGCACTGCCTTCAAAGTTTGGCATCCGGCCAACAGCCACCACTCTCCGGCCACCCAGCTCTGAAGGCAGTGCAGAAGTAAAGGTGGCAATACCACAGCCCCCCTAAAATAACCTTGCAACGCCCCTGCAACTCCCTTTTGGGTGAGGACCCCCAATTTGAGAAATGCTGGTTTCCTCTGTGTAATCTGTATAGTGTGAAAGCACACAAAAGGCCAGATTTCATGCGGGAAAACCAGATTTCACTGTCTGTGATGCATTTTTCATGGCCGTGAATTTGGTAGGGCCCTAATCATATGTGGAGTCCCTGCCTAACTTGTCATCCTACCAACATTCCTGAATCTCTTCTGCATTTCTGCTCTTTTCTGCCCTTATTGTTCAGGGACGTTGTGTAGAAAACTAGCTGTCGGTATTGACTCTGCTGTCAACCATTTACAGTGAATAGGGATATGATTATGTCACAGTGGTCACCAGTGTCATGGAACCCATGAATTTTTCCATTTATATGGTCTCTGCTGCTGCACTTTAACAGCTTGTTAGTTTGCTTGGGTTAGCAGTTGCTCATTAACCATTTGTTAATTTGCTTTAATCTAGCCATGTTTCTAAGAGGACAAGAGCAAAGCGATCTAATGAACTGGTAATGCATGGCTGCATGGTTCACATGGATGCCATGACCACAGCATGAATTATCTATTTTTTACGGTGTCTGTGCTGTGAATTATGCATAATTTTACCATGACAAAATCATATCCCTAACAATGAAGTGGCAGCTGGCTTTGCTGATGTCACCAGCAGCAGGCAGGAAAATTGTTGACAGTAAGGAAGTTAAGCTTTATTATGAGGCAATAATATTAATAAAAACTATACATTATTTAGTCCTTTCCCTTCACATTAGTCTTTTACTGTTTTTATGAGCAATATATCCGTTGCAATAGTGAGTATATTCATAATTGAGCATTATAAACTGAGAGAGCTTATTTGATTGAATACTGAAAGTTGGCAAATTGATGATGCTGAACGTATGACAATAAGAGATGATGAAAGCATTAATTTTTATGTTAAATGTTATCCCATTATCATTTAACTCAGGGCAGGTCTTCACTACAGGGCGGGGTCGATTTAATATACGTAAATTCAGCTACGCGAATAGCGTAGCTGAATTCGACCTATCGGAGCCGACTTACCCCGCTGTGAGGATGGCGGCAAAATCGACCTCCGCGGCTCCCCGTCGACGGCGCTTACTCCCACCTCCGCTGGTGGAGTGAGAGTGTCGATTCGGGGATCGATTGTCGCGTCCCGACGAGACGCGATAATTCGATCCCCGAGAGATCGATTTCTACCCGCTGATTCAGGCGGGTAGTGTAGACCTAGCCTCAGATAGGTTTGTGACCTGATTGATTTCAAGGTAAATGTTTTATTTTGTCATTTTTTGAAAACTACACAGAATAGTCCAGAGGAAGAGGCAGAATTAAAGAAATTAAAAGATTTTGAGAAGTCAGTGGAACAAATTGCTAACAAATTGGAGGAAATTAATAAAGAGTTCACAGGCATCCAAAAGGTAAATTATTTTCTTATCCTTACACCTCATATATTTGTATAGTATACTCTCCTTACTTCAGAAACAGCTACCATGTAATGTGGTTTGTCTTTTCAGTGATGTTTTGGTTTTTCACCTCTTAGCTCCACAGGTGACCTACAGAAGTTTTTCTAAATGTTAAACTTATTTCTGTGTTTCCAAAAGAGGGAAAAATATGTAGCTATTGGAAAAAGTAATTAGTACTGTATTTTAAGCAGATTATGTCCTTTAGATCCAGAGATATATGAGCTATAATAATACTTAGCTCTTCTGTAATGTTTTCCGTTCAAACAGTTTTTCTGATTCCTTTGCCACTGAGTGATATCAGAAGTACCATGAAGAGAGGGAATGAAAATATAGATGCAGAAATGATTGATTCTTTCTGACATCGGTTTAAACTGCTTGTGATGTCATTCACTGGCACAGAAACCAGGAAGTCTGCCGTTCAGATTTTTCAGGATTTTAAGGAAAGCGGTTATTAAGTGGTCTTAATTTTTGTTGAAATTAATTGCAATTTTTTTAAGTAGTGGCATCAGGTTATTTTTATTGTAAAAGTCCTATAGACCCTAACTGAGTTTGGGAGCCTATTGTGCTAGCAACTGTACAAGCACATAGTAGAAGTCGGATCCCGCTACAAAGACAAAGATAGACACAGGAATCTTCAGGAATCTTACAAAAAAGTTCTGGGGATTTCTAAAATATCTTTAACTCGTGGCTCATGTATACAGCCATACCAATTTCACGGCCATGAAAAATGTGTTACGGAGCATGAAATAAACTCTTCCCCGTGAAATCTGATCTCTCCCTTGCTGCTGGGAGCTCCCCAGCTGGGGCGGTTTTAGCTGCAAGTCCCTGCCAGCTGCGGAGGGACAGAACTTGTCCTTCTCTTGCATGGCAGCATGGGGGGTGAGATGGGGGGGTGTGGGGAGATCAGACCCACCTCTGAGTGTCTCCCCCTGCTGGGTTGGGACCTCCATAGTTACAACACTGTGAACTTTCAGATGTAAACAGCTGAAATGTGAAATTGACCAATTTGGTAGGGCCCTATTCCTGTACTTTGGGCAAAAGTTGGCAAAATAATGAGAACACTAATGAGTTAATTGTCAAAGCGGTGTGTGGATTTAGTTGCATGATTTCTGTCAACAATTCTGGGAATCAAGTGGCTTCCTGCACTGCATGGGGGAAAAATTAATAACCAAACTAATATTTGGCTAGACCACTGCTTCATAAAAGCTGTGGTAGCTATGCTGTTGTTAAAGTTTACGGTCATTATATTGATTCACTTGTTTTGATGTGTGATGTTTATTTGGGAGGACATATATAGAACTACATTAGTGTTTGAAAGAGGTATAAGGGAGAATGAAAGGTAGCCTGCATTTTGGGCCTTCTACTTTCCCTTTTATTTTAAAAAGGGTCACTCTCCTTAAATTGAAAGCTTTTTCCCCCTCTAATGATAAAATTGTTCAAACATCTAAATGAAAAATTTTTGCACCAGAATTTATTTAATTCATATTTAAATAGCAGCATGTATGTTCTTTGGAATATAAAATAATTGTTTTTCTTTTCATACAGGGCTTTCTAGCAAAAGATCTTCAAGCTGAAGCTCTTAACCACCTGGACAAGAGGATAAAAGGAACTGCTGAGCAGTTCATGAAGATCCTGGAACAGATAGATGCCATTGTGAGTAAATAGTCGTACAAAGGAGTTGTATATTCCTTAAAACAAGCTTTTGGTTTGTTGCCTTTTTTAAAGAACAGTTTGTTCTCTGGTATGATATTTTTAAATACTAACAAAAAATTAATTTTGGGGTTTTTTGAAAAAGAAGTTAATTGGTTTGCTCCCTTTTTCTTCAGTATCCAGTTCTTTTTCCTGTATGTCTTCAATGACCTCTTCATTTTGGTGTCCATGGCAGCTCCGATTTCTAAATGGTGACACTAATGCCTATGTATGCATCCCCATAATACAGAAGAGCATCATATTGGGCTGCAGCCTGTTATGTCCAGATGAAATGGATATCCTTTACTCAAGTTTTACCCTTTTTCATTTGTACTGCCAAAGCCTGTTAAATTAAAATATGTTACAGTAACATTAAGGGTCCGACAAAAACCAGGAAGACACTCTCCTTGTAATGCTTGTTTTGGTGGTAGGGAAGGCACAAACAATGGTGAGCCTTCTGGTTAGTCAAACGCGGATTTATAATTTTTGTATTTAAGACATTTGCAAACTGAGGACTGGACTGATTTCTTTGGAATATATCAAGGTACTTGCATAGCCCACATTGCTGTAGTATCGGAGTGTCACACAGCCATTATTGATTTTATCCTCACAGCACCCCTGTAAGGTAGGAAGTAGTATACCTTCTCCCTTACAGATGGGGAAGTGAAATACAGGCTAGACAAAGTGACTTGTCCAGGGCTATACTGTGGCTGAGCTGAGAATTGAACACAGGTCTCTTAAGTCCCAGTCCAGTACCTTATCCACTGGATCATGCTATCTGAAAGAGTTCCTTTCCCTCATATAACTGTATTGCATACCATACCTATTGTCACCTATAGTGTGTTTTGCAATAGTAATTCCTAAGGCCCGAATCCAGCAGATGAATTTGCAAAGGGTGGGCTCTTACACTCGCACAGAGCCCCATCCATTTCACCAGGGCTCCACATGAGTCTAGGGTTCTCTGCCTGTGTTGATTCAATTGCAGGATCAGGGCCTTAGTCTCTTTGTAATAATGAGTTGCTGGTGTAAAGCCTGGGAAAGAGAATCCACTTTAAAGAGGTGCTTTAGTTTGGCCCCCACCCAAACTCTGCCAGCGTGTGTCTGTTGTGAGAAGTGAATAGGATTTTTAGGAAACTGATTTTTAGGTGACCTTATTTATTGCTTTTGTACTGCCACAACTTTAACAGAAATGTAAATGTTGAGGTTTTGTTACCAAGGGCATAGTTTAATTTGTAGTACACCACAAAATGATTTTAACGTTATTAAATACACTAATTTCTTTCTGTAACAGCTAAAACATTTAAAACTTAAAAAACAAATCTTCATTTTTTACAGATTCCTTTATCCCTTTTATTTTTTTAAGTGTAGAATCTTTCACAGGGGAAAAACCTTGCTTGACAATCTCTCAAATGATATCTAATATCCTTGTTTGGTAAAACAGGGAATCAGTTTTAGGTGGCAGATTTCACATCCCCTGGGTCTCAGTATCTAGTGGCGATGATGACAATGACTGTAATTAAGTTGGTCAATGAGTTGATATTGCTGCTGTCATGCTTTTGTGCCATGTTCATAGCTCACTGCCATGCTAAGTAAGTTGCCAAGTGCTTGTCCAGATAAATTGGCATCAAAGCATATTTCTGATGGTCTATATATAGACACTGACTTCTGTTTTAAGTAGATTTTGGTCTATTGCTGTACTAATTCTGTCCCCTAATCAACAGTTTTTAGTTCAAACTCAATTTACACCATTTCTTTGTCTCTGTATGCTTTCTTTCAAAAATAGTTGATATGTTAAATAATCTCCCTGCCACCTTTCATCACTTCAGTCTAAGCACAGCATTTCAAGCCTACCCTGCAATGGCCAGACCGAGGAGTGTAAAGGTAGTTACTCTCCAAAACCAGTCAAACTGTAGCTTCTTCTGAGATTGCCATCAAGGATGTCATTTGTCCTGATGACACTTGTGCTTTAGGAACAAGGCTGAAATCACAAATTTAATTCATGTAGGACATGGAACAGCTGTCAGACTGTGTCAATTTTTGTTCACTGCTAGCCTGGATTGGATTTTAATCTGATTTAGAGGTGAATGAATGACTGTATATCTTGAGCCATCTAATCCCCAACTTTCATATTTAAATATAAAAGAACTAGAGTTACACAGTAAATGCCAAAGCCAAACAAAAAAGCTACCTTCCATTTTTTTAGCCTGCTACCTGGCTAAGAATTTACATCCTGGATTGGCAAAACTAATGTCAGAGAAAAAAGGTTTCTAGTATGGGTCCCTAATTTCAGTGAGAGGTCAATAACTAAAATAAAATGTGACCACATGGAATGCATTCAGTCTGTCCTTCGAGCTTCTGAGTAGTCAGCAAAATACCTTCTTCTGCTCTTTGCTAAAACTACTTCTAGCTACTACTTTGGAAATTCATTCTCACTTCATAGCCAAAGTAGAAAACTTCCCTTGTCTCTGATACAAAATATTATGTGCAGCATGTCCGACAGGGAGCTTTCAGCTTCAGTTAGGGCTATAAGATTTTAGCAGTTTTACAAAGTTGGTGATTTATAGGAAGTATTGAAGTGTCTGTTTTTGAAGACTTCTGCCTACTGTGAAGGTTAAGTAGTCAAAGTTAAAATGATCAGTCGTAAAGAAAAAAGTGATCAATTACAATTTACATCCTTGTTGTTGTTGTTCATTATTTGTATTCCAGTAGTGCCTAACGAGTCCCAGCCATGAACTAGGACCCCATTTTTTTTAAACACAGTATAAACTAAACAAAAAGATAGCCCCTGCTGCAAAGAGCAGTTAACCTAATTTCACCTGTCATGAGTTTTAAGTGATATATGCAATCCTATATCTTACCCACCTTTGCTATAAAATTTTAAGTGCAAATTCATAATTAGTTACTGATGTCCTTGACCTGTTTAAGAGGCAAAATAAACACAAATGTCTCCCCTGAAAATGGTTCATGTAAGATGCATGGAAGACATTTTTCTCCAGGGTGGACATACCAGCTATAGTGAGGACACAGTTCTTATCTTAAGAAGACAGAAAATATTAAAGCAAATTTACACTCTTAAAAGAAATTAATTTGATCAAGAAAATAACAAGTTAGGGGAAAGAGTGATTTATATGTAGCAAGCACCATATTTATTTGCTTTAAGGTAACAAAAATGAGTCTTTCCTCCCTCCCCTTGATTTTTAACCCATGCTGCACTTTTCACTTGATACAAATTCCAGATATGTTCATATTAAATACTGATTACTTTGGCAAACACAACAAAGGTTAAAAAAATATATTTAATATTACAGTTAGGAAACATTTGTTAGATGTATTACAATTTACTAGGAGCACAGACATTTCAAGTCAAGGTGGAACCTTGTTTTGTCCCTCAGTGCTTAGAATGATGCAAGTTTATTTCTGAAGCTTTATAAATTTCTTATTTTTCTTAATTGCAAATATTTACTTTGTAAGCATTCCTTGGTGTCTTAATGTAAATAATAAACATAAAACCAAAGATTTTGGGGGAGAGTTTCAAAAGTACAAATAGCAGGTAGGCACCTTTGTCTTTAATGGGAGTTAGGCACCTACCTGCCATTTGTGCCTTCAAAAATCTCCCTATTTATACTATAGTTGATTATTATTATTTTCTTTGTTTGGTATTTAAGAAGCTGCCAAAATATCTGCATAATTATTAAAATTGGGATTTAACGATGTGGTGTGCTTATGCAACTTACTCACCAAACTTAATTGCACAATAAGACTATGGAGGGATTGTTAAAGAAGAAGCCACACACTTCAGTACTATAAACCTTAAAGGTATTATATTTAAGTAGCAGAAATTCTTTATTATCCATCATCTATGCTTGTACTCATTTCCAAGATTTTCAAGTTCTTTTTAAGCATTTGAGGAACAGAAATGCTAATTTAGAGAATGAAATTGTAAGAAAAACATAAAAATAACATTTCCACATGATTCCAAGACCTGTCACTCCCAAGACAGATAGTCATGAATATAAATTTGACCAGCAATTAGTAAATATGTATTAACTGACTACACCTGCATGAACTGATATAAACCCTGCTCTCTGAATCCAGCCCAACTCTAAGCGGTGTGTTCTCCACTTGCATTGAACTCTGGACCTGATCCATTGCCTATTGAAGTCTGTGAAAAGATTGTTGAGATTATTATTGGGACCAAGACCTCTGAAGAACAAAAGGGAATAAATTGCTGAAATTAATGCAGTTTAGGAGAAGAGAGGAAAATGAGATGGAGACAAAGAAACAACAGAACACACAGAAGAAGCTCACTGCACAGTATTGGAATAAACTATGCAGTAGAAAGCATTTTTTAGCCCAAGCACTGCTCTGCAAGAAATGCCACCACCAAAGCTCAAAGTTCACTTGGTGAGAGAGTCTTGCATAAGCACTGACTAGGGTTAGGTTAACTTTACTATTAAGCTTGATTTTAATTAAATATTGAAATGTTATTGTGACTTAAGGTTTAATACCAGCTTCATCTGTTAAACCCTGAATAGTTGGACAACGTATTCCTGGAGAGGAGACGTAAACTGACTAAGGTAAAACAGAGAGACTCTGGGATTTAATTTCAATTTACAATTCTTACTCTTCATTAATCTACCTGAAAACCTTTCTTTAAGCAAGTTGGTGAGTTACGACACAAAGAACTCTAATTTCACTCCTGCATGGAACCCTGTTGAGATATCAGTGGGCCTTTGTACAAGCACAAGGATTTGTCTGTGTGGATGCAGTTACAGAACTGGGGCCTAAGACTTTAAACGTACGCTCTCTGAGTGGCTCCTTTAATTGATTTAAAGTTCTCCTCCAGTTACCAAAATTCATAGTTTTATAAATGGACATTTTGCTAATTCCTGTTTTAATTTATCAATGATAAACCAAACAGGAATCAGCTACCTTTAAACAAACTTTCCTTCACCATCAATAAACTGTCAAGTCTGTTCTAATTATTATAGATAATTACTTTTGAGAATAATTTTCAGACTGTAAAAAACACTTCCCTGGGCAAAACAAAGGTCTCCCTCTTGTAGAAAATGTGATCTGTATTGGAAGCTCTCTGCCAGTCTTCAGACACAAGAAGACCTTGTAAAGGAACTGACATGTTGTCTTATTTCCTGTTTTTCTTTTTCTTTGTAAAATTATTAAAATCTTTAAATTATTTTGCTTGTCTAAGTCATGGCATCCCCAGGGCACAGTAAGAACCTCTGTGTCAAATAGTAGGATCACATCCCTGAATTTGAGAAACAATTAATAATTAGTTTTACCTGATCTCCGTTTCTCCAGATTATAATTTGTAGTAATTTGGGAATAAAATTGGTTTGGTACTGAACACCCTGACTCATGCCTCTTTCATACCCTCACTAGGTATGGTATTTTTATTACTAAAATGGTATTTCATTATAGAAAATCTGATGGAAGAGTACGTGCGCTCTCTTTCAGTAGAGTTGCAAAATTTCCTAACACAAAATAAATCCACTAGAAAACGTTGCTCTGAATTTCTTATAATAAAAAGATAACTTTAACGTCTCGTAAGTGGCAGTTATATAATTTATTCCAAAGGCTTTGTTTTTTATTTAACAGTTATTTTGAAGGTATTTATTTTTGGTTTTAGCATTGGTGTTTGAACATGTTGGAGTTTTAAATTTTTTTCCATTGTTTCATAATGTCCTCAATACATACAGTTTGTGAAAGAAAACCATAAAGTAGACTCCCCTTAATAAGCCTGCCTCATTGAAATAGAAAGATGCACGTTAAGGGAGTTGCAATGAATAAGGGCTCATTGCAATACATTGTACTGTGGAATATGTCATTAATTGCTTTAAAAGAAAATCTTGGTGAATAAAACTTACACATTAGCTATTACAAAAGATCGGTGTGACACCTAAAATGATAAGCATTTGAAAAGTTAAACGTTGGAAGGTGGACATACAGTGGGTTGCCATGTCATAATGTGGCTCTTGGTTGATTGGTTGAATATGTGTTTGACCTCCAAGAATTGCTTCTTGGATGGAGTTACATAGTTTATGTTATCAAATATTTACAAATTACGCTAGTGGTTGGTGCCCATGGCTGTATGATTATGTGGAATCTCTTCGATTACTGGTAGAATTGCTCCTGAATCTGCCCTGTGCTGTAAATCTGAAGGAACTGAGGCCATGTTAGGCAAATAAAACCAACCGATTAGATGTAAGGTATATTATAGTGAGAGAGATTAGACACTTGGAACCAGTAGCTTCATGGAATGAATGCATATGTTTTCTAACAATTGTATGGTTTATCACTCCATATTAGGCGTTGAAGGAGGGAGATATGAAGGATTTATGGATTGTGTTATGACAGGACTTGAAAAAATTAACTTTTTAGAGGCAAGTAGGAGAAATTCTGTTTGGTGCTGGTAGTGGTGATCATCAATTTCTAAACAATTTAAGCTTTCGTTTACAAAAAAAAGTGTCTATCCTGATGGTTGCAAAGGGACTTTCCAAATGTGAACTGCTGCTGTGCTGTCTTCCTGAGTCTGCAGATGGACCTCTGTGGTGCCTTTGCTACTGCTCATAGTTTTCCTTACCATCTGAGAGAAATTAACATTAACATTGATGCTATTCCGAGCCCTGTGGGCAGCACTGAAAATTGACAAGAATTATATCAGCTTTACACTACTGCAGATTGGGAAAGCCTGAGCAGTTATTGAAGCTAAAGGGGTAGAAGCCCCCCCACCCCCAAGTCTGAAGACTAGGAATTAGTAGCAGAAACAACTTCCACTTAAACAGTTAGGATCTTTTAGGGCAGTGGTCCCCAACCTTTTTCGTCTGGCGGGCGCTGGACGACAAGCCACCGAGGACCGTGGCCGGCGGACAAGTATCTGCTGAAATGCCGCCGAGAAGCGGCAATGTCAAGAGGTGCCGACGCCGAAATGCCGCCGAGAAGCGGCAATGTCAAGAGGTGCCGACGCCGAAATGCCGCTGATTTTCGGCGGCGACGCCTCTTGACG